ACTAAGCTGAGCTAACATTCATCACAATTCAAACTAAGAGGTTCCTGTTGAGCACAACAGACGTGAGGGGTGCTAATACCTTCCCCTTGCGTAACCGACTCCCGAACCTAGAACACCGGTTGCAATGGCCGCGTTCCTGTTCTTTTGTTTTAAGAGGTTTTCTTGATATTTTCCTTTCCCGTTTATTTGGGATAAATAAATTTTGGTGGCGACTCTGTCGAACCGCATCTCTGCGCCTTTAGCGCGAGGGTCGTATTTTCTCGATTGAATTTTGAGGTGCGACAGTCCGTTGTACCCAAAAAGATCCACACTTGTTGTCTAATCAAAGGTTGTGTTATCTAAACCCTACTGCTAAATGGAAACTAGAAAGTAGAAAAAGAAAAAAGGAGACTCGATAGAACTTCGTCGTCCTATGCCTATGTATTCTCTCGTGCAATGGGAAAGTCAGAGTCAACGTAGTTCGGAAAACTACGGGTGAAGGGGGAAGGTTGCTCGCCAAGAGATCGTCGTTTTGTACCTACATATCCTCATCTGGTATGAGAAATCAGATTAGTTGTAGTTCGGCTCACCACGGGTTGCTTAGTGTATTTTATGAGCGACGTTAAGTTCCCATTCCAGCAGTTAGGGTCGATGTCTGTTTGCGGTAGAACGGAAAAATAACGCACTCTTTCTAGAATTGGTTTGAAAGACGATTTCGAAGGATGAAATCGAATTGAGTTTGTTTGTGAGTTTTAGAGAAGTGAACTGATTTAGTTTGAGATTCACATTGCAGTAAAGTCTATGACATAGGAGCGAATGCATCGCATGATCGCCCCCAGACGGGACATACGCTAAATACTCTAGACGAAGTAAGGAGAAACCCCTCACTCATCATTTCCCATATACTTAAGGCTCGTGGCGCACAATGTTTATCGTATTTATTACGTGTTTTGAAGTTGTTTTAAGAGAGAAGAAGAGAAATACGCACAGAAGGTCTAAGGGGAAACTCAACCCTAACATTGTCATTCAAAATGGTCCTAAGGTCGGGATGCAAAAGGAAATTATATCCTAATGTTAGCATGCAAAAGATGGACCTACAATTGATGTTAAAAGGGACTAACCTAATGTTAGCATGCATGGATTAACTCCTAATGTCTATCCTACTCCAAGCTTAATCAAAAACTAAGTTGGACTAGAAGGTCTTAAGGGAGCATGCAAGAACAAAACGAAACAAGGAACACAAAACGAAAACAACAACTACGACAGCGCTCCGGCTTTAGAATAGCAATAAAAAAACCCATCAAATAAGCACAACAGCTTTTAACAGCTCATGTTTCAACACATAACAGGTGTAAAAAGTGGCAGGCAAATTGTATGCACAATTAACAACATGTTAAAGTTCAGAACAATAGATGTGAAACGTTCAGGCAACATGCATACATGAACATGCATTACCAATCAAACACAAAACAAGTTCGATGTATAATTAAACATTCGACGAGAACATCATGCATTCAACACCGATTAATCAATTCAAACAAACATGCATTCACGGGAACGGAAACTAACATAAGCATGTGGTGCAAATCGAGCAAGATAGTCATCAAGAATCCACAATCATCATCATGCAAATGAATATGTAACATGATCAACACACCAAGAATATAATGCAATGATCATAAACGTTCATTAAAGGAAAACCAAAAGTCACGTGTTGAAGAACCTAAAGCATGCTATCAAATATGTTGAAACAGGTCAAGAATAGTCCACATATATGCATCATATCAATCCATGAGGTTTAAAGATGAAAATGAACCCAAACAAGCTTGAAAAAGCAAGAAAAAGGCATCCTGCCTCAGTGGTAATCGATTACCCATATGTGGGTAATCGATTACCCACTTAAAAATGTCAAAAAAACACGTGAAAAAGGCAGGGTAATCGATTACCCTGATTGTGGTAGTCGATTACCACTGAGATAGTGGCAGATTTTCAACTTCTAAAAAGCACTTTCAACAACAAATGACTTATCCAATCCTCTAAATGAACAAGAAATCAATTATGCACGAAAATCATGTCAAATCACAGTAATCAAATACCAACAACATCAATCAAATAACAAGATCAAAGATCAAAGCAAGCAATAGATCAAATATCACCAAGAAACCAAGGATCTACATTGTGAAATGCAAGATTGAGCAAAAACAAAATTATATCTAGGATTTACCAACCTACAAAGATGAGATTTGCTTTGGTGTGTGTTGTTAAGCTGCAATTAACAGATCCAAGCAAGAAATCCAAGGATCTATGAAGCTCTAGCAAGAAAACTTAAAGATCCAAGCAATCACCCACAAATAAGCAAAAGTTATTCCAATAGTGATTCCAAAAACTTAATTTAAGACCCAAACGAATTCCAAAACCAGAATTGAACCAAGGATGACGATGCAATGAAGGTTTAGCTTAAGAATTCACAAATTTCAATGTATAATTTCTGAAACTTTTGGCTATGGGACTTTGATGAGGGTTTGGGAATGAGAGAAAAGTTGAGAGAATTGAAATGAGATGTGTAGAAAATTCAGAAAATGAGTGAGCGTTATGAGAGGTTTGGAGTTAATTTATTTAAATAATCCCTAGGTTAGAATTTAAAATATGGTTTGGGGTGTGGGTTAGTGTGAGAAATGAAAATTAGGAGTGCAATTAGGAATGGAAATGTTTGAATTTTTGGAGGGAATTGGAATTAAATTGAGAAAATGAATCAAGTTTGAACCAATTCTAGATCCTTCTACTGATGCACATGGAGATCACATGATCAAAATGAAAACCAAGTGCTGCAGTGCTGACAAATGAACAATCTGGGAAAAGTTTGCTTGAGGTAATCAATTACTCTAATTGTGGTAATCGATTACCACATTCAAAATTTCAAATTTGGTGCCACATGGAGGGAAACTTGGAGAATCCTCCGTAACAACTTGTTCTGAGCGTAGTTTGGCCTCCGAAACTTGTCTTTTGATATTGCACCTGCATAATGCCTGAAATAAACAGTGAACTGTCTCCTGTGCTCAAAATAACCAGCTGAAAAAATATAATCTGGTACCCGATTGCTGAGAAAAATAAATGTCAAAGCTTCTGATGCTTGCTGCTTAAAACTTACAATAAAAGTAAGTCTTGAGCCATAGAAACAACTTGATCCCCTGTCTCAAGAGTCAATGCCATGATATGCACAATGAATGAAACATAAGTCAGTTACGGTTAAAAACGAGAGGACAAATTTTGGGGTGCTACAGTCAAGACAAGCAACAAATCATTTAATTTTTACCTTGAATTACAATATTGAGAATCTATTTCTAAAATTAACAACTGCATCAACACAACAATAACAATAACAACATAATTGATTAGGAATAGGTTTATCATTGTTATTAGCCAAGGCAAGCAATAAATCATTAAATTTTTGCCTTGGATGATAATATTGAAAATTATTCCTAAAAATAACAACTACATTAGCATAACAACAACACTAAATAGAGTTTAGTTTAGGGATAAATATAAATTTAAAAATGAAAAATGAAGTTTGGCGGCAGAAAAAACGAGTTAGGTTTAAGGCAAAAGTGAAAGAACGTGGTGCTTATATAAAAACTTGGATAACATTTCCCCTCGATTTTACCGATTATAAGGAAGTGGAAAAATTATTGATTTTTAATTTTAAAATAGTTAAAAAAGAAAAATAAAGAATGCGTCATTTTAGTTATAAATAAAATACGAAATTGTTAGAGTGTGAATCAAAGCTTGTCTTTAAAAGACTTTTTTCTTCGGTTTTCCTGACAATCGAGGGAATATGTATATATATTTTTAAATTAAAAATTAAAAATAAATAAAAGCATCATATAAAATATATTTTATTAGAAAATAATATTTTATTAGAAAATAATATTTGTTGAAGTAATAAATGGAGCACATATAAATGGAGCAAAGCGAGACTTAGGCTTGGATTAGGGTTGTATTTTCGTGAAGAGAACTTCTTACCCCACCCCTTGGGGTTCTTAGGTACCATGTGCACTTTCAAAAATACCCCCTGCTTTCGGATATATCTTCAGACGCACCTTTTTTTACTCAACGTTGGTTTTTTTCAGAGGTACATCTACAAAATGTTTCCGTTTATATAGCTCCAGAACATATTGGAATACATTTGCAACAGAGTCCCTTCTCCTCCCTCATTCTTTATTTTTCATCTTATTCACTCTCAAACTCTTCAAACTCTCTCAATACTCAAAAAAATCATTTTTTACCAAACTTAATTTTTTTGATCGAGTTTGAAAAGGAACATTCATTTCAACGATCAAGACACTCCAAATCATTCAAAACTCGATATAATCGGTAAGTTTTCGAGGTATTTTCGAGTATTTCCCATAAACGAGTTAGAATATAGTTTTAGGGGTAGAAATCCTTAGATAGTTTTAAAAACATAGTTTAGAGACAATGTAGGTATTGTTTGTTGGCTGAAACAGACAATCAGGGCTTCAAAAAATCAATTTTCATGGATAGGGGACGTCAGGGGATGCCATTGTCATGACTGTTGGAGTTACAGAAAGTTCTTGAGCTACATCTATGAAACAAATTAACGTTAGGGAAATTCCATATATGCAGCCCCAGAACAAATCAAACGTTGTATATTCTGGGTACTTCCGTAGGTACATCAATGAAATTTTTCCGTGTGTACATATTCAGAAGTAAAAAAATGTTAATTTTTTCTTTTTTCTTTTTTAATTTATTTGTATCTAATTATTTTTTATTAGTTATACCTTGCAGACATTATGGCAGACAAAGACGATAGTTTACGACTTGGACGGGTTTCACAGCATGCATCTGTTAGACGCGAGCGGAGCCAGGCTACTACTGAGGCACAACCTTCTTCATCACATGCCCATGGAACTCCCTCGACCTCGTATCCCACCCCATCATCTACTTCTTCATCCCGGAGGTGTCGGGATTCAGCTGAGGGTTCATGACAGGCCCCGTCCTCCCGCATGCCTCATCGGAATACTCTTGTTCGTCCTCCTGTCGATGATGTTGTTCCAGTTCCACCTCCAGAGGATGACGAACCGCCACCAGAGGATGCTAGTGACGAAAATGATGATGAGCCTGAGGGTTTCCCAGGGGGTCCCTCAGATATGTCCCTGCTGACAGGGTATGCTGACCATACTTCCAGACATGTTTGGGATGGAGAGGTGACATTACTCAGAATGTTTCATTTTTTCATTGGAAATTTATAATTTGTACCATTATTTCTTATTTATGGAAATTTTCAGACTCGTCCTCCGCAGAAGTTCTATAACCATAGGCGAAATATATTACCTTTTGATCAGTCATAAGAGGCTTGGTTCCAAGAAGTCCTTGCCGCCTCTGGTTTGAAGGACCTTTGTGAGATCGGTTACGACCTGATCCACAACGGGGTGTTGATGGGATTCATGGAGAGATGGCACCCTAAGACGTCCTCCTTCCATCTACCGCATGACGAGATCACAATTACACTGGACGACATCTCTTGTCCGTTACATATACGGATCATGGGTACCCTCCTTCGTCATGGTAGGATGACGAAGAAGGATGTGAGAAAGATGTTGTTGGAGGAGCTTGGGGATGATCTACTGGATTGTTAAGGCAAAACCTCATATATAAATGTGCTTGTTTCAATGATGTCAAAACTCTGCTCCATAGAAGAATATATGTTGGACGTTATCACCATGTTGCATTTGCATCTCTTGTTTCTCATAATTCAAATGCTCGTATAAAATATCACCGTTGTTGCATATATATTGTCATAAACGTGTGTCATATGAGTTTGACGTTTTTGGTGTCGTGTGCCATGTCCTAGGTTTCATCAAGAGTATCGAAAAATATGAAAATAGGCATTTTTGAGTGTTTCAGGGCTTTGAGTCGACCAAAGACTTGTTTCGATCGACTCACACTATGTGTCATTTTTGTATATTAGTCTCGGGAGGGCTCGCGTCGATCCTTCGGTCGACTCATACTATGAGCATTTTAATTTGGCTAAAAATGAATGCTATGCGTCGACACATGCAAAGCTCCGGTCGACGCATGGTCCTGTTTTCTGCACAGTTTTACATTCGGGTCAGCTCAGGTCGACCCCCTCTTCTGCATAGGTCGATCATTCGTTGTTTTATGTCAAATTTCTGTTATGTCAACTGTCTTTGTGAAGTGGTTTTGTTTGCTATGTCAGTTATGTTTGGTATATAAGTTCAGTTGCTACTTTCACTTCACAACATTGAGAAAAACAAGAAAAGTGAAATAGGTGTCGATTTGGTTCTCACCATCTTCATTATCTTCATAGCATTTCACAACAATTACACATAATCATCTTTGTTGTGTATTGTGCATTGTTAGAGGTGATAAAGTTCGAAGCCGAAGATTGGGTTATCCGGTTCGGGTTGAGAAATCGACAGGTTTTTCTTGAATAAAACCGCTAGGGTTTTGTCCTCCAAGATTCTCGGATTTTAGGGATTTTTGCACAATTCATCTCATCACATATTCAGCCGAGTGAAGGTAATCGAGGAGCCGGAGGTTCCGTCGATTTAGTAACGGTAAACAGAGGATTGTGAGTGGGAGTTTTGGGTTAGACACGCGGGTGATTGAAATCAGTATGGCCAGATTTTGAAGACTGAAAGTTGTTCAAAGATAGTGCCGCAATCGGAGGTTTATTCACAGCTGCCGAAGTACTTGATTCAACTTGAATTAAGGGGCAAGAAGAAATGGGGTCTACAACAACAATAGTGTCCGTTTGTTTGATAGCTATTAGCTTCTTATATAAACTTTCAACAACAAGTTATATCTATCTATTAACAGATCTCAATTCTATTATTAGAATTGAGGGCAGACGTACCTCGAGCGAGGAAGACGGGGGAACTGCCTCAACAAATCGTTGTCTTTTGCTTTACGTTTATATTGCTTAATATTTGTGTTTTTAGTGCAAACGGTTATATCAATCTAGGTCTGGTTTGAGTAGTGCTAAACTAATTTTTAAACCTAGTACAATCATTGATTGTAAGAGGAAACTTGAGCAATTCACTCTCAAAACAGAACTCACTTGTAGTGCTTTGCACTCCAAGTGTTTGATAAATTGTATGAACTAAAAGCCTTGTGTGCTGTCTTTTCATAGTGTTAATATTTTTAAGGCATTGGAACTAGTCACACCGTATAGCGAGCTGAATCAAATTGATAGTGTGATTAACGTAGTGTTTTTCATATCTCGTTATCGGATTCCATAGGTTTAACGCATATTCAATTTTCTAGTAACCGTTCATTTTAGACATGTATAGTTCCTCGGCCACTTCCATAATTAAACAAATTTTAAAAACCATTTTTATTGGTAGCGCCGACTCTTTTAAGCAATCGATCTATTCAACCCTCCCTTCTAGATCTGCGTCATCGTCTAACAAGTGGTATCAGGAGCACCGATTCATTGTGTACTTCAAGTATAACTTAGTAGAAAATGACTAACGAACCTAAAGGGGATTATAATAGAGCACCTATTTTTAATGGAGAAAACTATAGTTTCTGGAAAGACTGTATGCGTGTGCATATAAATTCCATTGACAGGAAGGTGTGGAATGTTATTCTAAATGGTCCTATGGAAATAACCATGACCGATGAAAATAACATGATTGTGCCTAAGCCTAAAGCACAATGGAATGATGATGACAAGAGGAAGTATAATTACGATTGGTAAGCCAAAAATATTTTGATCTCCTCTTTGGGAGTTGACAAATATTATAGGGTTTCTCATTGTTTAACTGCAAAGGCTATGTGGGACTCATTGCAAGTTGCCCATGAGGGAACCAATGATGTTAAACTAGCGAGAATCAATACCTTAATGCAAGAGTTTGATCTCTTTCACATGGAGCAAGGGGAAACCATTGCTGACATGCAAAAGGGATTTACTCATCTCATCAATAGATTATACTCACTAGGTAGGCCAGTTGCCAATGATGTTGCTACTAACAAAATCTTGAGATGTCTTAACAGGGAATGGCAACCAAAGGTAACCGCCATAAAAGAAGCAAACGATCTCATGATTTTGGACCTTACAACATTGTTTGGAAAGCTGCAAGAGCATGAACAAGTGCTTCTTAGTCTAGAGCAATATGAGAAAAAGGAAAAGAAGGAGAAAATGAAAAATACCGAAAAGAAGTCTATCGCTCTCAAGACTTCTTGTTCAATGTCCCACACAAAGGAGCTTAGTGATTACACCACAAGTGATGACGAAGATGATGACAAGAGTGAGGATATGGGGCTTTTTATGAAGCGATACAATCGCTATGTGAAAAAGAACGGTATCCAACATTCTGAGAATTTTTTTGTCAACTTTCGAAAACAATCAAGATACTCCAAAAATGACGTCAATAAAGGAAGCAAAACAAAAGGGTCGTGTTATAACTACGGAAAGACCAGACACTACAAGCCGGATTGTCCCTTGATGAAAAAGGACAAAGGGAAGGAAACAAGTCGGTCACATAAGAAGCAATCTAAGCCAAGGAGAGCGTATATCGCTTGGGAAAGCGATATCGAGTCATCCGAGGATGATAGCTCTAGTGACGAAGATGAATCCGTCAATCTTTGCTTTTCAGCTCATCAAAAGAACAAAAAGAAAAAGGTACGACATGAGAAATATGATCATTCCTCTAAATTGTCTCATTTTGAATTACAAACTGCTTTTAATACTTTGCATTATGAAGCGAAAGAAGCTTTTAAAAGGTTTGCCTAAAATAAACAAATATTTGCTCACCTAGAGCAAAAGATTCGTGATTCTGAAAAGAAACTAGAGGCATTAAAAGCTTCCATAGTGGAAAGTACAAAAGTAGATTGTGAGGAAATAATAAAGAGAGTTGTCAACTTCGGGTGTGATACTTGTTACATTTGGAAAAATGAGGTTAGAAATCTCAAGGCCAAACTTAACAAGGCTCTAGAACCCAAAATTATATTTGCTATTGATAAAGCTCATTTTAGAAAGAGTATGGTTAATCCATATCAAAAATAAACATATGTTGTAAAGAATAATAATAGAAAAAGTGATTCAAAAGTTAACTTTTCTTGTTTGTATTGTTGCAAGAAAGGTCACACCATTGCTAAATGTCGCTTTAGGAGATTTTTGGTTCCTAAAGGGGTTTATCAATGGTTGCCTAAATGCAACCATGTTTTCACTCACAACCTAGGACCCAATAAACAATTGGGTACCTATTCTTGTTGATTGTGTTCATAGGTACAATGTCTTGAGACTACCGAGAGAAGATGAGTTCTCGACAGTGGCTGCTCAAGACATATGACAAGAGACATATTTGTCTTCATTGACTTTATGGCAAAGAAGAAGGGATTTGTAACCTATGGAGACAACAACCGGGGTGCAATACTTGGAAAAGGTAGTGTAGATAATCCCTCATCCACTACTATCTCCGATGTGTTGCTAGTCGAGGGCCTTAAACATAATCTCATTAGCATTAGTCAATTATGCGACAAAGGATACAAAGTATCGTTTTCAAAAGATTTTTGCCTAATTGAACATAATGATAAAATGAAGGATGTGTTTAATGGTCTAAGAGTAAACAATGTCTATATGCTGGATTTGAATGAAGTATCATTGACTAGCGATAAATGTCTCATGACAATGAGTGAGGACTCATGGTTATGGCATAGACGTTTAGCACATGTTAATTTTGACTTGCTAAAAAGATCTAGTCATAGACCTTCCCAAAATCAAGTTCACCAAGGATCGCTTATGTGATGCATGCCAAATGGGGAAGCAAACAAGGATCTCATTTGAATCTAAAAATATTGTTTCAACTATGAGACCTCTTGAACTTCTCCATATGGATCTATTTGGGCCATCTAGAATTAAAAGTCTAGGTGGTAACTATTATGGTTTTGTAATAGTCGATGGTTTTTCTAGATTTTGTTGGACTATCTTCTTGGCTAGCAAGAGTGATACATTCGCAGCCTTTGAAAAATTTGCTAAGCTTTCTCAAAACAAGTTAAACACAAACACCATATCAATTAGAAGTGATCATGGAGGTGAGTTTGAGAATTATCTGTTTGAGGAATATTGTGGTAGACACGGAATTGATCATAACTTCTCCGCTCCGCGTACCCCTCAACAAAACGGGGTTGTGGAGCGCAAAAATCGAATTTTGGAAGAGTTAGGGAGAACTATGATCAACGGAAATGTATTACCTAAGTATTTATGGGCTGACGTCATTAGTACGACATGTTATGTATTGAATAGGGTGCTCATTCACCCTATTCTAAACTAAACACCGTATGAACTTTAAAAAGGGCGAAAGCCAAATGTGTCTCACCTACA